TTTCAGGCACCTTTGCTAATCATGTGATTTATTTAGAATGTGTGTTTTCTTAGCAAAATATGTATATACAGTATAGAGTCTAATTAAAGGCACATATCCTGTGTCAGCATTCAGTTTATAAATTACTGCAACACTTTCACATTTACTACTAGATAATGCAAAAAAATCTGTTATATTTATACATACTGCTTAAGAATATACTTTTAGTTTTAAATAATTTTTATATGTACACTTCTACCTTTAATTTTAGAAAGACTTACGTTCAAGTTTTAAGTCAAAGTACTTAAAGTATGTATATTATCCATAGAAGTTGTTTTAAGCTTATGAATACATTCATATCTCATATCGAGATGATACAATTACTAAGCAATGAAAACAAATTGCCCGTTTTGCTTTGCAGAAAATAATCAGTTGTTTTTACCTCCCATTTTAAGCATTCTTTAATAATTCCCTAAGTATGGAGTGAGAAGATAGAAAACTAGCCTAATGTAAAAGTTTTCTCAATAGCTGCAGTCTGTGGCTGACTGCTGTTCTATGATTTGTTTTTTTCTGGTAAACACAAGAGACTTTTTTCAGCCCTAGTTCTCAAACTTTTAAAATTCTCCAAAATTGAAGTGAGGTTTGTCCAATAAATATTTTCATTGATTAATCTGTGTATCTTGATTATACATCAGCTCTTTATATGTAAATCCGGGTTGGGATTTTTTTATGGGTTAGGGGGTTTTTTTGTAACCCAGATATGTGTTGGAAAATTTAATGACCTGTGGCTGAAGTGCCCTCTACTTTCTCGTCATGGTTTAACATCCCAGGGCAGGCATTGACTGTAGCCAAAGTTCAGTTCAGGAGTGAAGGAGTGCAGTGCCTTGCCTCCCTCCAAGTAGAAAGGTAGTTTGTCAGTTGAATCTTTGCTCATTCTAACCAATTTTCTGGATAACTTATGTGAATCTTTTTGGGTGGATGTTGATACCTTTGCTACTACCACAAAATCTTCAAATACTTTGTAGACAGAGATTAATCATGTTTGAGGGGAGGAAGTAAGTAAAACAGAATAAAAAAAAAACATGTAGTGTAGGTGAATCAACTAAACTGATTTTACTTAAATTTTCATTGAAAAGCTAAATTAAGCTGGGCCAATTTCTTCTTCTTAAGCCCATTATAAAGATGTGCTATATATCTACTTTATTACTGTTTCAAGCCATATGAGTGTGCTGTGTTTCTGGGTTCTTTTACATGTTATGAAGTTCAGGCTTAAAGAAGTGGGCATTCATTTTTAACAAGGGGTGGGGGAGGAAAAGAGAAATGAGGCAGAAACAATGAACAATCAAATGAAAGGTGTCAATCAGTATTTCTTTAATATTTCCATGTGCGCCTAGAAATGTTTAAGCTAACCTACTGCTGTAGGTTACCTTTATACTTGTATTTCTTTTTGTTAGTATTTTTGTTAGTTACATATTACCAGGCAAATAACTAGAAGTTAAACTGTTTCAGTTGAAAACATTTAAGGAGTTGTATGTGGATTACCACTACCATTCAGTAATAGGTCATGCAAAGGGAGAGGGGTGGGAACATGTTTTAAATATTCCCTTTTAAAACAGAATTGTAAATAAGCAGTGCTGTGTTATTTTAGACCTGAGCTCTGCTATCTGTAGTGGTTAGAACTAGGAGAACATGCTGCTTTCTAGTTACGCTGCTGTTTCATTGTACCAGCACCATGGAGGAAAAAAAACCAACCATCCGTAAATTTTTCTAACATTGCCCACTCATGGGTAAGCATGCTTGATGTGTAGCAGTTCTTGTTTATGTATATGTTAGTGTGTACACTATGTTCCTTTATGTTCATTGCAACTTATTCTTCAGTTAAGTCTTGCTGAGCCCCACTAGCTCTTCTGAGGATGATTACTGGAATATGCATTTTTAGGTAGGGTTGCAAATCCATCTGTCTACAAATATAGTTTCATATGAACTGCAAACTGTACTGTTACAAACACAACTATGTTAGATTGCATAGAGTTATTTTACTTACATGTACTTGGACTGAAATATGTCATCATAATGAAGTTAAAAAATTAAGTATGGAATATTTTTGTAAATAAAAATACCTGTGCAGCTGGTATTTTAAATTTAAAATGTATTATACATTAATGTTTCAGAAAAAAAATGTTCATATATGTGTATATGAATGTGTCATTATGCTGAAGGGCTCTTGATTGGGCAAAATAAACTATTCAAATCTCTCCTGAAATGAGTGGAGCTTACTCCTTTTCTTCTTAAGCAGTCCTTTTCCTGCTGGTGGGAGCAGCAGGAAAATGTGAGATGTGCTTTATAATGAGCAAAGCGGTGCTTGAAGCACCAGCAGACAGGCTGACATTGAGTAGCCCTGAAGGAGCAC